TATATAGGAACATTATGACTATTATATGGGCATACAACAATTATTAAATTTGATAGTGTGGACCATAGAGCAAAAACAACAACCACAGATACCAAGTTGTTTTAATGACTGTAATTTGAGTTTTCATGTACTGTATGTGCACAAACCTTTCTTTCACTTTCTGTTTGTATTGTTGTTGGCTGATCAATGGGAAGACATACAATATATGGCTCCAAGTGCTCAAATCTGGAATCTTTCAACAGTAGAAGCTTAGTGACTTCCGAACAGTACAGATGAACATTTGGAAAACTGTGGGTAAAACATATTTCCATAGATTTATCATTTATAAAATTTTACTTATTTTTATTTATTTATCATATTTTACACATTGAGGGATCATCTATTTAAGTCAGCATTTTCCCGCTTGTGAAGGGTTACTGACTTTCATGCCATGATGACTGTCATAAGGGCTGTCATAAGGAAGAGCATTGTAGTGTTGCGTTGTTTTTTACAGTGAGCCTGCCCTGGCAACCCACTAACCCATCACCCTAGGGGAAAGGGTGGATGCTCCTTGGTTCCTCCATGAACTCATCCGTGCTTTTAACAGGTCTTATTTTTAATCCTGCCGGTGGTCCACATACCCTCCTTACCTGACTTGCCCCAGATCGGTGAGCCAGTTTAGTTGCCCACCGTCCGACCAGGGCTGGGAAAAGTGCACAACCGGCAGTCGGAGGTTTTGACCATTACCCCGGAAGCATGAAATAAATAAAAATTGTTTTTATTCATTTTTTTATTTATTTATTTATTTTTTTTTACACATCACATACCAGTAATTAACTTTGATATTTATGCTTCCTCAAAACCACAAAATATACTACTGCTTAGCTATCATAGTGTAAAGATAACATTTTGTGCTGGAGGCATTTGATCAAAATAATTTGCATGGTCGGAGGATGGAGGAATTACTGATAGTCTAATTTCTCCATGCTTGGAGGCACAAAAATATTTTTTCCAGGCCTGCGTCTGACCATGAACAGATAAAGTTACTGGTTTACATGGTTACCAGTACTGTAGCAGGCAGAACCTGATCAGTTGGAAAAGGTATTGCACGAGGATCATGTAAATAGTACTGTAATTGATAATAACACATTCATTACAAATTTACCCCTTTTTTAATCGTTCAGAAAAAGCAGTAGAACCTAATCCTATCATATGATCTGAAAAATACAAAAATATGAATGATTATTTTAAATAATGACATTTGTTGACATACTGTACTGTACTACACTGGATAAATTGAATAAAACCACATGAAACACACAAGTCCTCAACCATTACCATATAGAAAGCGGTCAAACTTGGTCTACTAGAACTTTCCTGGGCACAAATTAAATTATAAGAGTCTGATCGTACTACTGTACTCACAGTAGGTATAATTATATCCAACGTGTTGATTGATTGAGCTAGCTTGACACATTTTTAGAATGCCATCTGTTTCAGCCTCAAACCAGTTTGGCTGTGATGTATTTAACATGCAGAACATTTTTTGATTTTATGTTTTATTTGTATTTTAAATTTTTTATTGTTTTTTTTTTATTATGTTGTTGTTAGGCGCCTAGAGGTTATTAACATTAGGCGCTATAAATATTGGTTATCATTATTATTATTAGAAAATCAGAAAATTATTGTGTTTTGTTTGTCTTATTATTAAAATACACTATCCTTTACTCTACAAAAAATAGGCTTATCATGTCAGTTTAACTGATATGATAAGCTTATTTTTTGTACTAGTGAGAATTTAAAGTTTGTTGTTAAACTTATTCTCGCATCTTGTGTGAATATGAATATGATTGGAGAATTGAGTGTTGTCTATCTATGGTACAGTAATTATAACTGAGCAATGTTTTATGTGAGAGGGGGGGGGAGGGAGGGGGTGTGAAAAAGCAAGTTAAACCAAGAAAAAAGAAAGGTACACGTTGCTGGAGATGATTAATATGATATGATTTTTAAAAGGCCAAAAGAAGAAAACAGGTATTAATCAAGGTTTCGCATCCAGCCTTAAAAACGATTACCAAATTACTTAAAACTTTTTGAATACTACTACATTCTATGATGATTTGGAATTATTAACTTAATTGAGCCTACTGTAGAAACCATATTATCAGATAAGTACATTTAAATAAAGTCAAATCATCAAACAATGTGGTAGTATTGAATAAAGTTTTTAATAATTTGGCAATCTTACAATCAACAACTTATTGGGGGTGTGTATAACTATACAGACGGATGCGAAACCATCAGGAAGTTAGGAGAGATTTGTCGGGGGATAAAAAAATATTATAAAACGTTGATATCAAATGTTGGCCTGACTTGGATACACCTTCTACTGTATGCCTAGACTACCTAGGGGCCAAGCCTAGGTTGGTTTACAGTATTATATAAATTAATAGTTTGGACGCCGATGAGATACAAAAAACACCATCCTTAATATGTGAGAACCAGTCAATTCGAGCGGATGCCACTTTGAGCGAATGCCAGTTCAAGCAGAAAAGATACACTTATGCGAACATCAGCCTGTGCGAGTTATGTATGAATTTCCTATTTTGAGCTACAGTAACGACTGCATTCGGCCGAGGCTTAAGCCTTGCCTAAAGAGCCAGGGGAAAAACCCTGGTGGGTTCCCGAGGAGAATCCTATAGCCTTATGTATGGAAGTTGTGTTAAATTGATTTAATTAATTAATTACAATAACAGTTACTCCCATTTACAATATAAATCATAAATTTAGCACCTACAAAATATAATTTGCTTTTTTAATACAAAACCCCAACTGGAGACAAAAACCGTGAATTCAGAATTAGGGCACATAGATTTTCACTCCTTTTTTTAAAAAAAAATTGATAAAGGCAGGAGGTTTTTTTTTGGTGGACATCTAGATGAGTATAAGAGACAGGGCCTGTATTGCGGAGGAAAACATCAGACATTACTCAGGCATCAAAGGGCAGGGAACACCCTAATTACAATTATATAGGCGCCTGGGCATTGGTCTTTACCTCAAGCTAGGCCAGCCTTTGCCTAAACTTTCTTTCTCAATGTCGTAGGTTAGTTTTTGCACCAATCCAACCAATCACAAAAAAGACAGCCCACTTGTAATGCACGATGTAACAAGTTATTTTATACCAGAGAGAGTATCTGTGGAACATGTGTTAATGCTGTGAATCAATGATTCAATTGGCCCACTGGGCGGGTCTTTTTAGGGATGGACCGTAGTGTTGCCTATTTTTAGCCGCAGCTGTGGAACATAAGAGTCTTCTAGCCGTGAATTAATGATCTGGTCAGTCCACTGGGCGGGTTTCTATAGGGACTGACCATGGTGTGGTCTATTTTTAACTGCAGTTATCGAGCGAGCTGTTTATTTTTAGTGACAGTAAAGATGTTTAAAGATTGGGTTTTGCGTTTTCAATTAAACAATTTGAAGAGTTTGAAGTCTGCCTAAATCGAAGCCAAAATTCTTTTATACTCTGTGAGCATTTGGTTTTTATGCTTTCATGCAGTTAAATAAATGATGCGACAAAAAACAATTAATAAACAATTTTTTAAAAATTAAATTATTCCCGCATCAATATTTCCAAAATGTTTGACATGGGTGGGCGTGATAATCTAATAAATTTTGCTATTTGCCCTAAAATGTGCGCAAGTCGATACTTTTAAAATAGTAGTAGGCCTAAGTGCTTGTTAACGACCATTTGGTAGTCGGATTTGCCAAGACTGTAATTCAGACATGGAATAACAAAAGTAGCAAAAACATTTCAGAACAAAGCATTTTTACATTTAAGATACACAAAAATAAATTACTATTCCACTCACAACTACAAGAATATGGCGACGATAAATTCGCCCTTGTTATAGTTCGCACTAAATGCATCCGCTCGAACTGGCATCTGCTCGAATTGGCATCTGCTCGAATTGGCATCTGCACGAACTGGCATTCAAATTGACTGCCATTCTCCTTAGGTTACTGTAGGACAAGATGCCCTGTATGAGCGTCTAGCGGCTTATTTTCAAAAATGTTCTCAGCTCGCGTCTACAGCCCTCGGATTGTGCTAGGCGCCAAAATAACATTTCTTGCCCTGCCTGTTGGGAGCGTTCCCCTGCCGTCAGAGAAATCCCAGAGATGCAAGTCTCCCGGATTGCCCTAGAATCTCCAGGGATTTTGGTTCATCCCCCCCCCCCCAGTCTCCCAGAAATTCCAAATTTTCTCCTGGAATTTGAATTTCTCTTGGATTTCTCCAGGGTTGTAACAGATTTTCACAATTAGGGCTTTGCTAAGATAGAATTTCCCATTCTTGTGCATTAAATATGACAGACATACTGTAGCCTGTAGGCCTACCTAGGCTAGGCCTAAGTCTAAGATTGAACATACTACCTACAGTAGGCCTAGGCTAGGCAGCAATAAGGTATTATTATTAACAACAGTGACCTATATCTGCCCAAGCCTCTTTGTTTTTTATTGAACGTGGCGATAAATTTGTACACGCGTGCACGCGTTGCAAACCTGCACATCCTCCTGCACGACAAATTCTCCAGGAATTTGGCTTTCACATCTTGGGGGACCCCGAAATTCAGTCCATTTCATTAACTATTTTGGTCAATCTAGGTCCTAACCTAGAGGCCTGTCTCTAGAATTTAGTTAGGGCCTAGGCCTAGAGGCTAGCCCCAGACTTAGTTAGGCCTAGGCCTACGCTAGGCTACAGCAGGCCATAGGCCAAGGTTTGCACGTTACTTACCTGTGTGGGCATGCGATAAGAAATATGCAGTGGCTTTCAGATTCGATGCGCCCACAAACCTGTCAAGAACAATGTGTGGATACTCAGCCATTATTCCTCCAAAGGTGCTCATGGTGATTTCACTTAGTTCCACCACCGCTTCGTTATATTAAGATCATCCTTAAATCAGAATTAAAAAAAAAACGGAAAGAACCCCTACTCCATTTATTTAAATACCCCTGTTTCTCGCGCGGAAACTGTGACGACGGCGAATCCGCCATTGTTGGTGGAATGATGATTATGGAACGAGAGAGGGCGTAATATTGTTTTAATTTTAAGTACAGTATTGGTTCTGAATGAAGATAGATATCGGTCTACCAAGTACGTAAAATCGATCCTGTATGCAATACTATAATTAAAAATGATAATAAAAAAAAAAAACAATTAAGAATTTACAAAGCACCAATATTTCTAAATGATGTAATGTTGCATTGTGCTAAAAGCTACCTGCAAGTACCAGCAATTTTCATTATTAAAATATATATTGTATATTTAAATATTTTAAATGACATCATACAGTTGAAAATCCCTTCCGGGGAAATCTGGTTAAGTGTACTTTCTTAACATATTTGATTTTATTTTGCTGCCCATGTGGTGATACATATCGTTACTGACATCCGTGAGACAGTTGATAATACAGTGTAAAAAAAAAAGAAGAAATAACAATAGGCCTATATACTCTAAATCAAAAGGTTTAAATGTTTTACACTTAAAAATAAAAATTGAATGAATATTAAATAATAAATTAATAATACTCTATATGTTGACTCAAGATAGAGGCAGGGTGCCCTGTCCTACCTAGGCCTTAGTAGACTTCCAAAACAAAAAGATAATCGTAACGAAAAAATAAAGAATCGTCCTCACATCTATTTCTCAGAATTTACAGACGTTGATTAACTTAAGACGTTAATATCATAAATGTAATCAATGTTGTTTTCTGTTTTGATGATGCAAAAGTATTGGATCCAGATGATTGTTTTTGTCAATGATTTGGTAAATGTATTTATGCAATAGGCCTATTTCTAAATTTACACACACACACATACACCGACACCCCCCACACCCCCCCCCCCCCACACACACACACAAAATAAATAAATAAATAAATACAAAGCGGGGAAATATATTCCTAATTTCTAACGAACACCATTATAATATCGAATTAGAAGCGCAGCGCAGACTAAAAAAAATCTCTTTTTATCAGATCTACGCTTTATAGATGCAAATAACTACAATCGGCGAAATAACCCACGGCTCAACCAAAGTCGAAACCAAGACCAATCAGAGCAAAATAACCAGCTACAAAGAAAGGCAGATATTAAAGAGCAGAAAGCAACAACAGAGGAAATGAAGGCAGCAATGAATACAGATTATAGGCCTCTGAGTTTATTTTTTACAATTTAGGCCAAATGTAGTTTTGGGCAACCAACCAGGGTAGAATGGTGGAAGTAATTTTCTGGCTGAATTTCCCTATGATCAAATCAGCAGCGTGTATAGGAGTATTGAAAGGTGTTGGGGGGAGGGTGGTTGATGTTAAGACATAATTATTATATTGCTACTTCTCACAGCCAGGCTAGCCATTTCAATTTCGTTTAGCAATTTAAACACGCCATATTGACTCTCTCAACTCTAGGCCTACATGAGGTGGTAGCGGTGGCTCCCAGAAATTTGCCGACAGGGGGTCCGACATGTCCGGCGAAGTCCGAACCAAGGGGCCGACAACAGCGGACGGGTCCGGGAATAAAACCAACTGGTAGGGTTTTCGGGGAGTTTTTATGGCTTAATGGCCAAGGATGGCCCAAATTGTACCTTTTTAGATCACAATATTAGGGATTGGCATTCAAAAAACTGTCATGGTTATTGGCTAGCAAATTATTATTTTTCGTCCGACGAGAGGGGGTCCTGTTCGACGGGGGAGGGGATGCTCTTGTATCCGCTGTCGCAACAAAATTTCTCACTCCTTAAGAAATGTTGTGTTAATTGAATATAACCGAAGACAATTGTTTATTGTTTTTTAAAGATTTGGCAAGGCAACGGGACATGGAACAATGGAATAATTAAGGACTTAAAACACCTTATAAGTGTTTATCCATTATGGCATGCCTTCATGGATAGTCTTTGGCTCAAACAATGTACAGTAACCTTTATTTATTTGAGAGCGAACTACGATATGAAAAATAATCCAATCCAAGAGAGATGCATTATACAATTCAAGCAGTGCGTTGATTATTAGTATAGGTCGACATTTACGGTAATATTTAAGAAATTTAAGAAGTCAACTAAATTTCTTTCCAAATGTATAGCCAGGCTTAGGGCTAAATGAAACTTTCTGTAAGTACAGTGTAATATTGTAGTTTATCATGGTCCAATAAAGAAATGGTTAAAGTTTGGTGACAATCCGAAGTAGGGTGTGGGTGTGAGGACCATTCAAATAAAAACGTCCCAGACCAGATATTCAAAAACGGATAAACTGATCTGAATGAAACTTTCGGGAAAGTTATCAAATTTTGGTGACGATCCAGTTTTGGGTGTGAATTTGAGGGTCGTTCTACCGAGCTAGCAAAGCGACGTTGGCCCAACGTTGGTAAACGTTGACAACCACCAGGTTTGCTATTCATTATCCACCATCAACATAACTGCCTTAAAAAAAAAAATTTAAAAAAAAATTGGTTTGTGTAAGAATCGAACACAAAACCTCCAGGTTTGCTATTCATTATCCACCACCAACTAAACTGCATTAAAAAAAAATATATAAAAAAATTGGTTCGTGTGGGAATTGAACACACAACCACCAGGTCTCCCGTAACATGATTAGTCTATTTTTTTTTCTAATTTGCATAATGAATTTTTCAAATATTTTTGTCTATTTAAAAAATACTGCGTAAGTTATGGAGATGGTAACAATCAAAAATCGATTATAAATTTCTACAATTTTAGACAAAAAATAAACCCTCTTGGCCCACGGCCCATTTTTGACACCATGACCATGCGAAATATTAACCTGCAGTGTATATATACAAAGAATTTTTTATTATTAGATTTGATTAACTGGTACTTGGTGTGGTAATAGGTTTATCGCATTTATAGCTTAGGGGCCGCGGTTTACCTCCCTCCGTTTAGTCATGCTAAAGGGGTAGTAAACTAAGCGATCGTGGGTTCGATTCCCACACGGGGCAAGTTTTTTTTATATACTTTTTTTGTTTATTTTTATTTTTAAATTTTTTTAAAGGTCGTGGGTTCGATTCCCACACGAGCCAGCTTTTTTTTTTTTTTTTTTTTTTTTTTTTAAGGCAGTTCAGTTGATGGTGGATAGGCCTAATGAATAGCAAACATGGAGGTTGTGTGTTCGATTCCCACACGAACCATTTTTTCCCTTTAAGGCAGTTGTGTTGATGGTGGACAATGAATGTATTGTACTCGTTGATGACGTCGCGAAATAACAACAAATAACAACGTGTCATGTCCGAGCCTAGACCTTCATGGAAGCTCACTGGCTCCTGTGTAATTCATGTCGAGCCAACTGCAGACGAAAAGGTTACAATCTTTTCAGAGATAAGCTGGAAGAAAGTTTTAGACAGTGCCCATCAATGGAAGGGTTTTAATACTGAGGAATGGAAGTTAGCTAAGTACTTGGCTTGCTTTACCGTTTTTCTTCGATCGTCGCTTCCAACCGTCTAGGCGCGTCTAGCCTAAAGAGGGCCTACTGTACATAGCAGGTCGAGATTGTACTACATTCGGCTGATGCACGGTCATTTCAACAGCCATGGTTATACATAAAAAGTTTTTAAAAAAAACCATGTAGCTAGGAAAGTCTATTGCTAATGAATAGGGCCGCCTAATGTCCCCAACCTAAATATCTCAAGGTCTAATAAAGGAATGATATGAGGACAAATCAATGAAAAACCTGGACCAGATAATACTAACAATCAACTGATCTGAATGAAACTTTCTTGGAAAGTTCAACCAAGTAAGCAATTAGGCCCTACTAAATTTTGGTGACGATGTGTGGGGAAATGAGGATATTTAAACGTCATTCTACATAATAATAACATAATAGCAGTCATAGTTCGAGTTTTCCTGACGTCAAGTTAGTTTTTATGTGTGTCAAATAATTTTCTGTATGATCTAATTTTTGCTCTTCGTGTGTTATTTTACGCTAGACTTTTAATTGAGTAATTTTTAATTTTTTTGTAATTTCAAAATCACTTCTCATTATGGCAATGAGGTAAAGCCCTGTTCCTTCTTTTTTTAAATTTTTTTTACAAAACACACATAGTAGGATAGGTCTAGTTTACAAACCACACATAGTAGATAAGTCTAGTTTAATTTAATCTTGTTTTAATCTGGTTTTTTTTTGTAGGCCCTATTTAAAAAAAAATATTTTATGTAAATTTTGAATTCATCCAGAAGTCGAAATTTGTGAAATTCGAATATTGTTATAGTGACTGCATTAAGCTTTCAAAACAATCCGATAGTACTACGTTGAAAACAAACTGAATAAATATACTTGTACAATGGAACTTTCATTTAGTATCTGTATATAATTGAAGAAGAAATATGTGGTAGACACCATTAAACATAATAACTGATGCCTAGTTTTTGTTATCAAGTGCAAGTGGATTTGAATAATTATTCATTCATTAAACAACATTTATTTCCGTAAATTTTAAACAATATTTATAGTAAATCATTATTATAACAAGAATGTATGTAAATAAATTAATCATGAAAAACGATTAACTAGGATCTTTAATGGCAGA